TGTAACTGTCATTTTTGCTATATTGACTTTACAATTGAACAAATATAGCATATTAACCAGCACAGTAGTCCATTATCGAGAATGGAGGAAAAATTGGCCAGCCGGCACATTGCGCTTGAAAGGGTAAATACCATTTAACAATCTAAATTTTAAAAATTAAATTTCTTTCTTGTCCATCGAAGAACATAGGAAGCTTCCGGTTATACTTCTGCCTTCTGGTGGATTGGACCCTGGCAACCAAGACCATTTTTTTCTCTATCTTTTGCTTCAATTCTGTACCCATCTGCTAGAGCCTGGTGTCTTTGATTGCAGTGCAGTGGCACAGCCACCTCCAGCCAGTCCTATGGAGTGCCACATCTGGACCTTGTTGGGCTGAACATTGTGGTGATAGCCTGGAAGTGACTTTCAGGAACAGGGTTTCACGTAGAGTACATTCCAGATTCCATTCTCGTAAAAAGTTAGCGGTCCAGGTCCAAAACTGCTGGTATCACCGCAGCACTTTCCCTCTCTATGAAGACTTACTATGTGTGTGAGCCTGTTAGGCCAAGCCCCATCAGCTTCCTTAAGTACACAGGACTCCAGCGGTATTTAAAATTCCCCATTTATCATATTTCTACTCCTTGGGCGGGGAATGCTGTGTGACTGATCACTGATGTCATCAGCTGGGTAGAGTGTCCGCACATGTTCTTTACCGGCATGAAGGAAGCATCCCCCCACTGCTGCTCCTGCTTTGAAAGAGTCGCACAAAACTTCAATCTGTTCCTGCTGCCCGCCTACAGTGACTTTGGCCCTTACTGGCCATCTGACCCTTACCCTTCTACCAGCTCTCTGGGTTTTGTGACTACCTGAGGCCTTTCTTCGTACCCTGAGTCTTAAGTTGCCTTGTGGCCATGCAGTGGCAACATGTATTATTCTAGACAGGAGGAACTGCTGTACTGACTGCCCCCAGCTAACACTCTAATGGCGCTTAGGCTGATTGCCACGCACCTACTGATAAAGTTGATCTCTGCAGGCTGTGAACCTGTTGTCCACTGCTTCAGTGTCTATACAGTCTTTCTTTGTTCCATCATGTGTGATCAGTTCCTCTGCCCTTTCAGCTGAGGTTTTACACTAAAGTCCTGCAAGACTTTGTGGCCTAAATCACCTAGTTATTTTCTGACTGCAGAGGTTATAGGCATGCTCTCACGTCTTTTGTTGCCATTTCTTCTGTACATTCTGTATCTGATTTACCTGAGGTCTATGTCGTCAGCTGCTGAGACTTAGATTCCTTTAGTCACTTAGTCTTTACTTGACTAGCCTACCTGAAAGGAAGTCTACTGCCAAATTAGGAAAGATCATTTCAGCTCTTATTGATGCGGTGCACACTACTCTGAAACTAGAGGATACTAGGGGATCCGCCTGTTGCTTCCTACCAGTGGTGTTCCCAGTTTTGGGCCCTTTTAGTGCCCCAAAGACTGCAAATACTTTTCCAATGCACCTTATGTTCCAGGTATTCCTCTACACGGCTTGGAAATATCCTGTTTTCTCCCCCCCAAGCTCTTAAAAGTCTTGTACCCGTTTAAGTCTGCTCCAATGTTGATCTGGAAGTATCCTACTTTAAAAATTCAGCCAGCATAGGATGCATCTGTCTCTTGGTAACTAACCATTAATTGGTTGGAAGCACTGTTGAGCTGTATTTTTTCTGGCAGGCCTTGCTTTTCACCCCATCTTGGCTTTGATTTAATTTTGCCAAACCTTGGCGGACTGGTCAAAGTGCCTTGAAAGGGAACACATGTCTAGTAAGCAGCCAATCCACATTTCCAGATCCCCCAAGCTTGTCTTAGTCCAACCACAAGGACTGGGGCTCAAAAGTCTCACATTCTCAGACAAACCTTCCTTAGCATGAACGTACATCCTCATTATTCAAAGTAAGGAAACATTTGTTAACCTTTCCAGACACTTGGACTGCTTGGATTTCGGACACCTGGGTGTGGGATGTAGTATCCTGCCCGCTTCCTAGTTTTTCACCTCCAACCTTTCTGTGTCAGGGCAGAAATGAGCAAATAGGTGTTCCAGGATCTGTTTTGCTGGAGGGGTCTTTGGATATTAACCTGGCTTCCAATTCAACAACAAACTGGATATGTTCGTTTTCAGGTACACAGGTTCCCTAGAGGAAGCAGGAGATGGCTCCCTGGGATCATTACATCCTGATATTTGCCCTTTTTTTCTCTTGAAACTTTTTTCTTGTGTGCTTCGTGGGATCGAAATGAAGGGCATCTCGGCAATTCTCTTTGTTCCGGACTAGCCCTGGCAAATGTGCTATGACAACCTAGTAAGCGTGAGTCTTGTGCTTCCCACCCTGGGAGTTTTTCTGTAACTGGGTCAGGACCTGCTTTGGCTGCATGTACCACCTCTTCCGTTTTGTTCAAATACCATAGTCTTCTCATTCTTTGGTAAAAGTAGTCACTTCTGTAGTTTTCCCTGTTCGTTTCCCTGTAACTACCGGTATGTGGAATTGGAATCTGATTCTGTCCACATTTCTGAAACTGTCATTTGAACTCTTCATTATCTACTCTTGACTACACAGTGGTAAAACTTGTTTCGATCATCACTGTAGCAGTGTTTCTGAACCCAGTCCTGTAAGGAATCCTTCCTTTTTTGCATAAGGACAAGATGGTGTTGAGGGCTAGGACCTCTTTCGTGCCTAAGGTAGCTTCTTCCATTCAGGACCAGTCCCTCTGTACAGCTCCAGTTCACCCAAAAGATATTTCCTTCCATTGTCTCGATGTGGTGCAGGCTGTGAAAGTCTTATCTTACAGCTATTGCTTCTTTTAGGAAGGTTGGTTCTCTTGGTCATGCCAGATGTACCCTGGAACAGTACTCCAGCTTCTTGTCCATTTTATCCAAGCTTTTCCTGGCAGGGCACTCTGTGAGTGCTTCTTGGACTTTTTGTTATCAAACAGATTTTCAAGGCTTCCTCCTGGTCTTTTGTTTACGTATTCTCTAAGTTCTACCAGGTGGTCATTGAGGCCTCAGCTAATGCCAGTTTCAAGTGGCTCTTCAAACTGCTTTAAGCATCTCAAAGGTGATAACTTCCTGTGCCCTCAGTGGATAAGAAGGAAAATATATTTTGCTGATCTGAACCAGAGAAGGAGAGCACACCAAGCAGTGTGAGCATCCCGGAGCAATTGCTAGGAGGCACACAATTAAGATGTCCAGCCCATCCTGCAAATAGCAGGATGAAAGGGTATTGAGGGGCCAGCAGTTTTTGTGGAGAGGTCCCCCAACAGCTGCGCTGTTATGTACTATTCAGAGGTTAAAGGAATGGGGAATTTTGGGAAAACCCACAGATGCTTTTACTCTAACAATATCTATCCTTCACATGAAAGAGTAGAATATCATTTGTCTGTAAATAAACCTATGCATTTTATATAATATTGTACTTCATGCAGTCGTACTCTTTAATCTAGATGCTCTCATTTGACTTTAAACAAAACCTGTTTACGTAAAAAATGTAAAATGTTAGCTATCCCTCACAATGTGCAATTTGCTTATACTGTGCAGAACACAGACTTATGTTTTGAAGGGGCCCCAGGTGCTGGATTGCCAGAACATAGGTGCCTGGTGACAGAGGAAATTATTGGCAACAGCTTGGTATAAGACCAGGCTTATTTCCTAGGTTTAATTGCTAAAAACCACCTTAACGTAGTGTGCACTGTGCCAAGAAAATGTTGTGTATGATAATGGAAATACTTGTGTTGGATTTTTTTTTTTTTTTTTTTTAAGACATGGCTTTTGTGTGCATGGAAGATCTTTTTAGGCTTTTCTATATAACCTTCAAACTAATGGAAACCTCTTGTTCCATAGTGTTTTCTGAGACAATGTGCTTGTCATGCATTTGAGCATGTCATGTGTTTGTTCATGAATTTCTGCAGCATAATCTTGTGCTTATGTCCTTACGGTCCTCTTTTGTCCATGCTGGATCAAGTGGTATAGGCTGTTGGATAATTTCTTATGATTTATTAACCTCAATAACATGTCAGCAGTTTGGTAGAATGCTTTGCCTGCATAAGGTGTGTAGGAACACGCACACAAATTGTTTAGGTGGCGTCTTCCAGAATTCTTTCTCATCACGTTTTGGAGACAAAGTGGACATTGGTCAACTGAAAATGAAGAGAACTTTAAATCGTGATACCTTTTACCTGCCTCATTCTTGCAAACCTCTCAGAACGAGGCTCAGTGTACAAACTGTTAGAGTGAATTCTTCTCTGGGGCATTCTGCTGAGTTAGGTTAATATCGAGCATCGCAGTGGAGCACACAGGCATGATCAGACAGAATGAAGAATTTGGCTTTGGACTGAGGTCAGGGTGAAATTTTTGCTATTTGCCAATTTCCTTTTTGTTGATAGGATCATGTTTGTCCATAAAATAATCTTAACATTTGTAATTGTTTTGTTGTGACTGAAACTATTAACCAGATTGTACAGTGTATGAGAACTGCTTGCATGTCAGTTCAGTTTTCTGATTTTCCTTTCTAAGGAGCAGATGTATGAAAATGTATATGGATAGATCTTGCCATTAGATAACTTGGTTTAGAGAACAGAACCACAGATGAAAAACAAGTTTCAGCCGCTGGTCTTCAGTTATATATATATTGATATTTAAGAATCTTGCCAGTGATGCACTTATACAATAGCCTTGTATATCCGAAACCTTAAGGACCTAAAGCAATGTTAAAGGACCCCCTACTATTTTTATCTTGGTGGTACTTTATTTTATACCTGTTCGTATATCACACGGCATTGGTAAGTTTCCCAAATGTTGTACATGAACATATTTAATATTTGCTGTTTTCTAAGTACAGGCAATTGCTGCCTTGTATGGCAGCATATTGTAATAGTTATGTAGCCTCCATGAGAGAGGAATTTTAAGGCTTTTCCACATTTTACTGGTCATTCATATAGGAGTCATAGTAAAGCTTGGTAACTATGGGGATCTAACTATTCTAATGGTTTTTCAAGGTTGACAAGCTGGATGCCTCTGAATCTCTCAGAAAAGAAGAGGAGCAAGCAACAGAGACACAGCCAATTGTTTATGGTAATTCTTGAAATTATTTTTTTGTGTCTAGCATTGACTGAAATCAGTTTGTGCCAATAGGGTTTACATCAGGCCTTGAAATTTCCACTCACCAGCTCGCATTGGTGAGTGGAAATTATGGTGGGGGAGAGTGTGTCTCCAGGGCAGTCTTGCTGGGCAGGCTCGGAACTCAGGGTTGGATCCGTCTCTCGCACTGGGAGCCGTCAGGCTGCTCAATAGTTGAGCAAAGTGAAAGCAAAGGAAGGTGTGTGTGCTGTGCTCTCTGCCTCCCCCTAGAGTGCAGTACCCGGCTCTGTGAGTGAAGGTAACAAACTACTGAAACTTTTTATAGGGGTGTGTGTGTGTACATGTCTGTGTACTTGCGTACATGTGTCTGTGTACGTGTGTGTATTTCTGTGTCTGTACATGTGTCTGTGTGTATACGTGTGTGTGTACGTGTGTCTCTGTGCGTGTCTGTGTACGTGTGTCTGTATGTTAAGCTACATGTATGGGTGGTTTGGTCAGGTTCAGGATTATGTGGTTATGAGTGGTAGAGTATGGGGCATTTGAGGTACTGCTAGGTTGGATAGTAGGTAGGATATGCTTGGTAGAGTTATGGTTTTGTGAGTGAAAAGATTATGGGGGGGTTATGGTTGTATGCGGTACATGGTCTAAGTATGATGGAGTGTTTAGGGGGACATTGGAGGCCCTGATGTAATGTGGGGGGACTCTGGGGACACTGATGTAATGTGAGGGGACTCTGGGGACCCTGATGTAATGTGGGTAACATTTAACAGTGTCATTTCATGAAATAATTTAAGAGGGCGTGATTAGGGGCGAGGCAGGGTAAGGGTTGGGTGGGGCAACTGGTGGCGAGTAACTCTTAAGGCCTGGCTAGTAGCTCAGAACTTGAAATTTTAAGCCCTGGTTTACATGATAAATTCTCATTTTGTAACATGTTACACCCATATTCAGGGTGTAATATATTTACTGTTGCCGCAGCCCCCAGACAGCCTTGATTCCCTTGTTTTGACAGCGAGCCAGGGATGCTGTCACATTTAATAAAATGTGGTTGTGCAGGGCTTCACCCACCCGACTGCGTCATTCATTTAGAGTTCTGTGAATGAGAGAACTACATGTACCGACAGCCTTTGCAGCTGTCAGCTTGTAGTTTTCTATGAACTACCAGGGCACTGATGAGTGTCAGGAAGCATCAATGAACTACCTAGAGCAATCTGTAGGAGCCTTGCATTGCACCTGTTATCTGCTGATCATGGGTGCAATGCTTTGCAGGCTCCTAGTAAAAAAAAAAAAAAAAAAAAATTATTATAAATTTTATTTTTTTTAAAAATCATAAAGGGCCGGTTCACACCACATGCAGTTCAGTGCATTTTTTTTTTTTTCTGCAGTTCCAGTGCATTCCAGTTCCAAACAAAAAAAAAAACATGATAGAACATGCAGCATTTTCTCTGAACTGTACTGTACTGGAATGTGATAAAAATGAATCAAAAATGCACCAGATGCACATGTCCTTATTTAAGATGAAAAAGGGGGGGGGGGGGGGGTGATCCTCTGGCTTTGTGGGGGTTAATAAAAGTCACTTGACCTGTCACAGGCGCACTCCAAAAAATGCTAACCATGCTCACATTTTCTGCACCCCTGCTACATTTATAAAAGCTGCACTATTGCTTTTCATTTTGGGTACAGGAAGCGGAAAGGGCGGGCATATTTGGCACTTGAGTGACACTGACAGGTTCAGCAGCTTGTATTAACCCCCACAGCACCATAGCTGCAGGGGTATTAGGAAAAGGGGTGAGTGGGTTGGGGGCAGAGGAATAAACATTTCACCAAACAGAGCAGTCACCAGCACAAGGAACACTTCTCATTCAGTGTAAGTGCTGTACCTTGTGCTGATTAAAAAAAACATCCTAAACATAGAACTAAAGACAAAACTTTTTTTTTTTTTTTTTTTGACATTGGGGAAGTTTATACCACCTCTGTCTATAGCTAAACAGGAAGTGAGTGGAAATCCCTCCAAAGTGAGGAAAATGACATTACTATTTTTTCCTCAAAATTTAGCAAAAGTGCTATAGTTGTCTTTGAACACAACTGAAAGTAAATTCTTTACCAACACAATATTTTTTCAGGAAATATTTTGAAATATTAGAGACCTTGTATAACCTCTTTTTGTTCTTACAGGTCAGCCCCAGCTAATGCTGACTGCAGGACCCAGTGTCCCAGTACCTCCTCAAGCGGCATTTGGTTACGGCTATACTGCACCTGCATATGGGCAGCCCCAACCTGGATTTGGATATGGCATGTAAAACAAGAGCTGCAACCTCTGAACCTGGGCTATTTTCTTACAGAATTTCCACCGTCCTCCTTCCCCTTCTTGACCCATAGCAGGGAAGAGCTCCAAAATCCCTTTGTTTCATGAAGGACAGTTTTATTTTCTACAGCATATGGATCACACCACTTTAAATTCTTTTGTTCACATTCCATATTCCCCAAAATTGATGATTATTTTGATGGGCATAGTACTTCAATGCTTTAAGTGGGCTTTCTATTTTTTTATTTTTGTGTTTGTGGTTTTTCCTTTCTTTTACGGAGGGCTGCTTGTAACCTCTCCAGTAACTGGGGATGTGTAAGTCTAGGATAGGTTTGGAAGCCTTGGCTATTGCAGAGGTTAACGCAATCCTCTGAACCCCTCACAGGACCTGCAATACATTCTAAAATATATCGTGTAGAAACACTGGCAGCAAAGGGGTTAACAAAGCTAACAGTCTATGTGAAGAATCTCTGATTTGCACTCTGTAGTGTTAGAAAACTTAATATTGAATCTCTCAAAATTGATGTATGTAAGCAGCTTATGTACTGTCTTATCTAAATACATATATCTACTTGTATATTCTGAAGAAAAAAAAATTTCTATTTCCACATGCAAGACTGCCGATGACAAAAGAACACTAATCTCTATGTTCTATACCAGTTTTGTTGTGCAGCTCATAAAACTATTAATTTTAGCAACATACAAAACAACGTTGCATAAACGGAAAAAAGTTGCGTAAGGGAATATTCATTTGCGCATATAGATACTGCTAGTGTGTGTAGCTCACTCCATGATGAACAGATGGCCCTATGTTGTGCTGTATCCTGTGCTTTTTTTTGTGGGACCATTTCATTCAGGAACGAAGAAGGCACCATGAATTCCAGTCTGTGTACTACCCTTCTCCTATTCCCTGAGGTTTATGTATGTTGGATATTGTGGTGTTCTTAGGTCACTGTTTTGAGTGTACAGAGGAGAGAATTTAAGCAACAACATAAAAAAAACATGAAATGCTGTTCGGTTTTGTTTGTGCAATTTGAGATGACAGATTTAAAAAAAAAAAAAAATAAAATAAAACATGAAATAAAAATACTGAACTGTGGACATATTATACAATATCAGTGGTGATGTATTTTATTTTAACTGTATATTTTTTTCACTCCCGAAATAGTTCTCTTATTTCAGTGTCAAATGTTAGTATATATGTGACAGACTATTTGGTTACCTAGAGGATGTATTTCATTCTGCTGCCTATATTTAAAGCAAACCTGTGCCCAGACTATGCACACTAAAATCTTTACATATTCCAAACCGTAAAAGCACTTTACTTCAGCTCTCACACTTGTACACCCCCTGTGGAGCATAGCAGTTTATTCTTTCCACTGTGTACCTGTTTATTTGGCAATAACTTTGTCATAAGGAAATAATACATATATTATTTTAAAGGAGATTTATAGTCCCAGTACTTTCATTTAATAACTTCATTATTGTAATAGCAATATAAATGATAAATATTTTTTGTGCTTCTGACTTCAATTTATTTGAAAAATCTTTCAGGTTGTAAATGCTTTCTCTACTCAAAACCTCCTGTATTACCAGATTCTCCTCTGTCCATTCCTTTGGTTTACTTTCTGATTTAAATACTTTATATCCCATAGCAGAATGCTGACTGCAAGCTGTGATTCCTGTACTGACTGTGCCTCCTCAAACTTCTCCCCTCGGCACCTCCTGTGGTTCAGAAGGCAGGTTCTATAAAATTTGTGACAAACCACTGCTTATTTGCAGAGCATAGTAAATATGTAATTGAATTTTAAGGATGTAAATCTGTGGGATTCTTCAAAAATGTACACATTTCAAGATCATTCAGAATAATAGGAGTAGGCTAGAAATGACTGAAATACCACATGGAAACCATATGATTTTAACCATAAATACATTTTAAGGGCAAACAAGGCTTTCTTTTTGTGATATTGTCTTGGAAATATTTTTTTGTCTAAGGATTGCATTTAAAAAATCTAAACTGTAGACCATTTTTTTAAATTTTTGGGCCATATAAAAAGTGTTTGTCTAAAAATAAAAAACAAAAAAAACACATTTTTTTCTTGAATATGTTTAAAGTTGTTAATCTAATACAAAGCATTGCAGTGCAGTTTTAAAATTTACAAATTAAAGGATTTTTTGCACTTTTTTAATGTGATACTAGAAACACAATTAGGTCCTGTTCACACCTTACTGGAATCCTGAGTCTGGATCGTGCTAAAATTGCAGCACTTAGGGTGACATGTCTGCTAGCTGCACATTTGAGATGCAATTAAGAATGAATGTGTTTTACTGCACTAAACTCATGCTTGAGAAGGTGCTGGAGACTCTTTGGCAGCCCATTCGTCGAACGGCCCTATGCGTGACACGCGCCAGAACAGTGAGTGTAAAGAAAACCAAAATTAAAAAAGTTTAATAATGGATAATATAAAAAAAATTATTAGGAGGATAATGGTTGAAATCAGAAAGATTTGATGAGGCTAACTAATGGTTTATACAAATTTTATGGGGGAAAAAAAAATTACTTTTTAATTGCCAGGTTGTTTTAACTGACAGTGAAGTGACTAACCTTGGGTGATAAACAGAGATGAAACAAAACCACCTACATAAGTTGCACCTGCTTTTCTGCAGTCTTCTCTACGGCTGTTCAAAGGGCAGAATTTATACAGCTTGTCTGAGCGTTCCTAAAGCAGGGGGTGGGAAGTTGAAGTTGCTCTGCAGAGCTCAGTGAGAGCTGATTGGAGGGAAGGGCCAAACCCCCTTCAGATAGCACACAGGAATAGAGCTGAGGCTGTCAACCACAGGCTGTTTGCTGGAGATTCCTCCCGTCACCTTTTTATCTCTTTGCGATCAGTAGGAGTCACTTCTGACTAGTTTTCTGAAACCGAGGAAGGAGGCAGCAGAGAGAAATGACACTTGGTGCTTTGGATGGAGAAACGTACACTAGGGGGATATGGTTTGTTTATATATTATGTCTCAGGTTTACAACTACTTTAAAGTGTTTCTTCAGCAACTCCAGGCTTTCATTTTAACCTCTTGTCGTCCGCCTGCTGTTTATAAACGGCAGGGCGGTGGCAGTCCAGGGGCGGGTTGCCGTTCGTAAACGGCACCCGCCTTTTCTAGCTGTGCGCGCTCCCTGGGTGCGCGCACCACCGCGATCCGGTGCCCGCTGTGTCCTCCGGACACAGTGAAACACCGATCGTCGGACGGGACCTCTGTACGAAGTCCCGATCATGTGATCACTGATTGGCGAATCAGTGATCACATGCAAAGTAGTAAGCAAGATGTCACTTGTGACATCATTGCTTACTACGTGTGAAATCTGTGAATGATCACAGAGGTCACATGGTACAAGGCTATTCACAACAGCCTTGTACCATGTGACAAGCTGTGACCACTCACAGCTCACTCAGTAATTCTCAATGACTGCAAGAATGCAGACAGAGAGAGAAATGATTGCTTTTACATCCTATATGGGTGTAAAAGCAATCAGTGTGTAAAAAAAAAAAAATCATCACCCCCCACAAGTAGTACAGTGTCACCATGGTGACACTGTACTGCTAGGGTGACAGCATGTAAAAAAAAAAATAAAAATAAAAAAATAAAAATGTAAAAAAATGTTTCCAAAATTAGTTTATAACCAAAAATTATAATTTTTAAAAATTTTTTTTTACTAAAAAAATAACGGAATAAATTTTGGCCAAGATTTATGATGAAATATTATTTATTTTTGCAAAATTTTATTAAAAAAAACTTTCAAAATTTTTGGACTTTTTCATTTACATAGTAAAAAAAAAATAAAAATCCCAGCGGTGAATAAATACCACCAAAATAAAGCTTTATCTGTCTCAAAAAAATGGTAAAAAATTCATATGGGTACAGTGTTGCATGACCGTGCAATTGTCATTCAAAGTGTGATAGCGCTGAAAGCTAAAAATTGCCTTGGACAGAAAGGGGGTGAAAGTGTCTGGACAGGAAGTGGTTAAGAGATGGAAATTGCCGACAAGCGGCACAGGGAGCAGAGCGTCAGGATGTGCTGTGTTTTTGGTCATGTGTAGCAGGCCCAGTGTCCTGAACAAGTTAAAACAACTCATCATTCACTTTTGTACTGTAGTTAGACATTATAGGGTAAACGTGTGCTCACATTTCAGAGGAGGAGAGCAGTCTTTATTTTTTCTTTCTACTTTCTGAAGCTAGGTCTACACTATTGCTAGGCTTGTATGCTCCATTTGTGCTGGCGCAGCAGTCCATTAACTTGGTTTGCTGTGCCTTGGGGAACGCAGGGAAAAGCTTCCCTGACCTTTTTATCCAAAACACGCTCTCACGGAACTGCATGGTGCTAAGGCACCATGAGGTTTCAACCACATGAAAATACACTGTGGTTTCAGCTGTGTGGGTGCCATTAAGAATTGCACCCCCGTGCATCTAGAGCAACGTGTTTTGGCTGCAGGAGAAGGAACTTGTGCGATTTACATGCATATCTGCAATAGTGTGAATCTAGCCTAATGGACCAGAATCTTGGCAGGATGCCAGCCCTCCAATGTAAACAACCAACAAGTCATTCTGATCCATTAGAAACCTACTGAACTCAGACTCTAGAGCATGGTTTCTCAACTAGGGTTTCTCCAGGGGTTCCTTGAGCAATGAGTGATTTTTGCCTCTCCGGTAAGTTCCCACTGACACCATTGATCTTTTTAGCAATCTGTAAGGGGGCAATTCTTCCCAATAACCACAAGTGCAAGGAACATTCTTACCCCTGACTATCATACTAATGTATCATAAATTGTAGATAGTCATTTTAGCAGGAGTTCCCTGAGACTGGAAAGTTACGTCAAAGGTTCCTCTGCGTTGAAAAGGTTGAGAGGCGCTGCTCTAGAGTCTGTTGTGACTCAGTGAGGGCTTGTTAAGAATAATTTATTGTCCATACTATGGGAATAGATACAGTAAAAGACGATGTTT